CCTGCAAAATACTTTCCATCCTTCAGGGTCAAATTCAAATCCTGCTTTCCCAGAAGCCCTTGCCACAGGGTCTGCAGTTCCAACCTGCCAGCTGCTCCTTGGAAACCCCATAGAGGGTCATGATGAGTCGGAAGTGACTTGATGACAAACAACAACACCATGAAGCCTTGGCAGGAGCCAGGTGGCATAGTGAGCCAAGGATTGGTAGTTGGAACTCTCCAGCTGCTCTGAGATGAGGAAGTCTGCTTCTGTAAATATTACTCAGAAACCCTATGGGGTAGTTTTACTCTGCCCTATAGGTGTAGGATCAGAACTGGACTGTAAAACACAAGGTTGGCAGTTCAAACCCACCAGCTGCTCTTCAGAAATCCTGCACAAGTTTACTATGAGTTGGAATCCACTTGATGACACTTAACAACACCAGCATAGTGTCTCTATGAATGAGAATTGACTTGACCTCAGTGTGTTTGGTTTTTGGCTTATGAGACCCTGGAGTCTCTGGATGCCAACAGTGAAGTGCTCCACTCTTAACTGAAAGGCTGGACATTTGAACCCATTCATAGGAGTCCTGGTGTGGCACTGTGGGTTAATGCGCTGGACTGTAAAGTTGGTTCGAACCATAAGGTCTGTGGTTCAAGTTCACCAGTCTCTCCTCAGAAACCCTGTACAGGGTTGCTATGGGTCGGAACCACGTAACAACAGTAACAACAAGAAAGGCCCGGTGATCTACTTCTAAAAGATCAGCTGCTGAAAACAGTACAGAGCATGGTTCTACTCTAAAGCTTGTGGGGTCACCTTGAGTCAGACTCAACTTGACAGAAACTGGTTTGGGCCCTTGCCTACTGCTCCCTTCCAGCATCTCCTTCACACCTGTGGCATACCTCCATTTCATCATTCATTCATTCACTCCATACATATTTTTTCGGGTCTGTTCAGCACTAGGCAATAGGAAAGGCAGTGAGGATATATTAAGAAACCCAGATAGATACAGCCCGCACACTCAGGATGCTCTTATTCTAATTGGAGCAGAAGTCCTAAGCGGTACACAACCTTGTTTATCACAACGCCCTGTGTGAGTTCATATTCCCCAGGAGTTCCCTGAGGGGGCAGGGCTAGGCTGAACATCTGTTTCTCTCCTGGTGCACTAGCTGGCTGCCCTCTGGCAGGGTCACAGGAATGTTGGTAAGGTAATGCGTAGATGGGTAAACATACGCACTAGTGAATCACACTGTTGTTGTTGTTAAGTACTGTGGAGTTGGTTCCGACTCATAGTGACCCTGCACAGGGTTTCCGAGGCTGTAAATCTTTACGGGAGCAGAATGCCTCATCTTTTTCCCATGGAACAGCTGGTAGTTTTGAACTGCTGACTTTGAGGTTGGTAGTCCGACTCATAACCACTATGCTACTAGTGTAGGGTTTTTTGGACAGCAAGAAGGTGACCTCTGACCCCGAGGAAATTGTCATCTTGGTTGTGCATGGAGGAAAAGGCCCTTGGCTTCATCATGTATGTGGATTAGAAACATGGTCTCCATTTGGTAACTCCAGTAGCATTTGGGACTATTTGACTTTGATGTTATTGTTGTTGTTAAGTGCCGTTGAGTCAGTTCTGACCCATAGCGTCACTGTATAGGGTTTCCAAGGAGCAGCTGGTGAGCTGAACCGCTGGCTTTGAAGTTCAAACCAATTTTGTTGTCCAGCGCATTAACCCAGGACATGAACACAGTGTCACACCAGTACTTGTTGCTCAGTGCCATCAAGACAATTCCGACTCATCTATGAACAGCAGAATGAAACACTGCCTGGTTCTGTGCCATGCTCACAATTGTGGCTACACTTGAGCCCATTGCTGCTGCCACTGTGCCAATTCATATCGTTGTGTGTGTGTGTGTGTGGGTTCTTATTTTTTGCCAACCCTCCTCTTTATCAAGCATGGTGTCCTCCTCCAGGCACAGGTCCCTCCTGATAATATGTCAGAAGTATGAAAGATGAAGTTGGGCCTTCCTGGCTTCCAAGGAGCATTCTGGATGTACTTCAGACTTTCGGGAGCTAACTGACCATTCCAGATGTTTTGTTACATTGGACTAAAAAAGTCTTTGGTTTTTTTTTAAAGAAAGCAACACAAAAACTTAAAGGAGAGGGTTGAACTCAAACTCTCTTTGTATCTTTATAGTAAACCTCTAGAGCGAATGGACTGGCATGGTTCTTGACTCCACACTAAAAAGAAAAAGAACAAAACAAACCAGGTTCTGTAGAGTTGATTGTGATTTCTAAAGGCACCATGTGTGTCCAGAATAGAACTGTGCTCCAGAGGTTTTTTTTTCAGTGGTTCATTTCTCTGGAGCAGATTATCAGAATTCTTTCCCAAGGTACTTGGGGCAGATTTGAACCTCCAATCTTTCAGAGAGCAGTTAATGATGAACTGTTTGGGCCACGCAAGGGTCTAACTCCATGTTCCTAATGAGGAAGCAGGGACCCTGAGAACTGAGGTCACCAGGTTGGCTGGTGGCAAAGCCAGTGCTCTAATTTGAGCCTGGAGCATTGCCTGTGATCCAGATCCACAGGGAGCCAGGATGTGTGCTCTTCCCATGCTTAGGGGCAGGCCCTGATGCAAACAACTAAGGGACACATGGGGGAGGGGATGGATGGGAGGGGAAGCTCTACTTACATATGGCTATTTAAGGAAAACATCAACAAAGTTGGCAAATAAATGCATTTTATCTGAAGAGCGAGCCCTGGTGTGGTGCTGTAGGATAAACACTGGATGGATAGCTAACTACAATGTTGGCAGTTCAAACCCACCAGCTGCTCTTCAGAAACTCTATGCAGGGTCGCTGTACGTCAGAACCAACTCCACAGCACACAACAGCAACACCTGGACAATAGGCAGGAGGGATCGTAAGGCAGCCTGGTGGTGCCAGGGTTAACCAAAAGGATGGTGGTTGGAATTGATCCAGTGGTTCCATGAGAGAAACACCGGGCGTCTGCTTCTGTAAAAATCACAGCCTAGGAAACCCCACGGAGCAGTCCTGCTCATCACATGGGTTCTACTGCAGGGCACACAACACCATCGTCTCGGACTAGGAGTCTTGGTGGTGCAAACACGCTGTGCTGCTAACGTAAAGTTTGGATGTTTGAGCCCACCCTGAGACACCTTCAAAGAAAGGCGTCTGTTTCTAAAAACCAGCCAGTGATAATCTTATGGAGCACAGCTTTACTCTGATACACATGGGGTTGACTCAACATTAACTGGCACCTGGATGGTATGTAGCTAAAACCCATTTTTCTTTGAAAATGTGTACAAAGATCATTTTCAGGTTTAGAAATGATCATTTTCAGGTTTAGAAAGAGAAGATTTCCCATCCTGTGACTTGGTTTTGTGTTTTGTTAGCCAATCTCCAATCACAGCAAGAACCACGAAGTAGCTCCACAATTTCTCTTCTGCCAGCTCACTGTCAGGTTTTTACTTTTTTTTTTTTTTTTTTTTTGCACGATGTTGAAAGAACTATAAACTCACAGCCTATCACAGATGTTATTAATGCGTGCAAATCACAATAGGCCACAACTGTGTATGTTGCATTATTTTGAGAGAGATCTGACTTTGGTTGAAGAGACTCCAGTTTTCCCAGATGGGCACTCCATCTGAGTCTGGGGATGGCAGCCCTGTGTACTGCCGTCTTGTAAACAGAGATACCTCCTTTTACCAGGTCAGCAGTATTCAGGACTAGCTACCCTTCCTGTAAGCCACTCTGCTCACCCACCCACGTATGTAGTCAAATAAAGCAAATCTGCGTTCTAAAATTGCTTTTCTATTAGTGTCTCACTGACTTCGGTCAAGTGCCCCAGGAAAGTAGTGCGGACTAATTTATTGCCAAGAAAACTCAGTACATCCCAGAAAAGCTGAAAGTACCATGAACATGTGGGGAAACGGAGGATAAGAGAGTGGGGTGGGTCCCCTCATATTCCACCAAACAGAGCCCATCGCCTCACATGATCCAGCTTTCCTTCCTGACTTCTCTCATCATTTCAAGTTCAGTGCTTTGAGGCTGTCTTTGATTTCCTTGTCCAGAGACTTCCTGCCCTGGGACTCATCAGTTCTGAGAGCCCATCTAGTCCTCCACACATGTTCTCTGGTACCAGCCTTTCCTTTTGTTGTTGTTGTTATTGTTGATAAGTGTTGTCAAGTGAGTTCTGACTCATACATAGTGACTCTGTTAGCAGAGCTTGTACCTGATGTGGATTTGAAAACCAGTTCTGCCAACTGAATATGTTACTTATTTCATCTTATCATCCTCATTTTATACATGGAGAAGGGCAGACTTGTACCTTCCTCATGCATTGGTGTCTTGCTAGTGGTTATTTTTATTATCAAGGACCTAATTATTACCCAGAAGGACTAAGGAATACCAGGAATAGACCATCAGATGATTAAAGTAGTTCATCCAGGTCCAAGTATGGGCTACTCAATCACAGAGATGCACATCTGCAGTCCTGTTTAACCTTACAGTTGTTTCGTTCTATTTTTGTTTGTTTCCCGTTAGTTTCTTGAGAACAATACCACATGCTGATGATTTCCTAGAGCTGAGGATACTGCACAAATTACTTCCTAACTTGAGGAGTTTGAGAAACTAGAAACTTACTACCCATATGGCCTTTACCCAGAGTAAAATGAAGCTAGTCAATCATTTTGGTTTTCCACTCTGCCCTTCTCTAAGGACTCTATCATTGGTAGCCAGTTTAATACCTCTTTATTTCCCGGGGTAAGTTGAATATTGCCTTCTCTCCTGTGTCCTTGGAGAAGGAATTTAAGTCTCAATATCTAACCTAATACTTCACAAACTTTAGAGGTTGCGCCATTGGCCTTGTTGTTAAGTGCTGTTGAGTCAGTTCTGACTTCTAGTGGCCCTATATAGGGTTTCTGAGTAGTGGCTGGTGGGTTTGAACTGTCAACCTTTGTGGTTAGCTGTCCAGTACTTAATCATACAATGCCACACTAGGCCTACCATCACTGGCCTTATCCCCAGAATTTTCTTCTAGTGTCTGATGAATGGCTTCAGACTCATCAGCAAGCTTCTGCATAGCATGTACTTCAAGAGCAGGACCCATCTCTCCACGTAGTATTACGTTCTCTCTGGCCAAGTCAGTTTTTGCTGCTCCATTTCCAGATGCAAGAGGTTTGTTCCTGATGCAGACTTTGAAAACGTGAACACCATCATCGCTGGTTTTTCTTGTATCAGTCTCATGTTGACTTGAAGAGCTTCAAAACCCTGTTGTGGAAATGGCACCAACTTCCTTTTCATGCTTTAAAGACGTCCACTTGCTCATCTGCTGACTGGCTCTCCTGCCATCCCAGCTGTAGTCCAGACTAGCCAAAGTGATATTGTGTTCATTTGCACAATGAAATGGCAAGGTTTCCATTTCTCTGTCTCTTACATTTGTATTAGCATCAGCATTAACACTGATTTACACATCTATGAGATTTTCTCATAGAAAATCGATGAGACTTTCAGTTCTCTTAAAATGTCCATAATTCTTCTCCTATATAAAGTCCAAGAGGTATTCTTCTCTCTTAGAAAGTCTATGTGACATTTTATTCTTTATAAAATCCAACAGGCTTTCTTTACCCTTATAAAACCAACCAGTTCCTTCATCCTTATCAGGGTGTGTGACTGATTGGTTGGCACGCCCCCCTCTCCACTGTCCCTGACTCTGTTCTGGGATGTGAACTGCCAGTGAAGGTACTGCAGGTGTTGTAATCTACCGACTGGATCCCATTGCTACATCTGGATTCGTGCAATGAACCGTGCCTTCCTACCTTCCATGATGCTCTGTTTGCTGGGAAGTAACATCACCAATCAAGCTTGATTTCAGATCAGCTCAGAAACAGGACTACAGTTAGGTGTTGTACCTCACTGTACTTTTTACACACCAGCGAATCTCTACCCTGTGAATCTACAGACCTGACCCTTCCGTGCTGCCGACACATTTACACCAGAGAGTGGGGAATGGTTCAGGAAGAAGGCAGACTTACATTTGGAAGCAGCTACAATTTTATGGGCATGGCTTGGAGGGTACCATATGTCTCAGTTGATGCATACCATTTGTTGTTTGTATAACTGCATCATGGACATACCAGAGACAGCACCACTGGGAGGAAACCAGAGCCTGGCTGTGTGATGGCACTTGGGTTTCAGCTCCAGCTTTCTAACGATTTATTGTGTTATCACCAGTAAACCACTTCCCTATTCTGGCCCTTCATTACCTAGTCTTCAAAGTCAGAGAAGGTGGGGCTAGTAGTCATCTTCTGAGATGCATTATTATGGGATATATCCTAGGTACATCTCTGTCTTCACTTGAAACAGCAGAGGACAAGAGTCATGATTCACAAGCAGCTGAAAGTCTAGTGGCAAAGTCCTGAACGCCATGCCATTAGTTGTAAGTTATAGTTGGCTTGGTTCCAACTAATGGTGACCTCACGTACAACAGAATGAAATGCTGCCCTGCCTTGTGCTTGCCTCATGATCATTGGTGAACTTGAGTCCATTCTCGTGGCCACTCTGATTCTTCCAAACTAGAGGGCTCCTTTTCCAGCAGTGTAGTGAACAGCCCTCTGTGGTAATCCACAGGATTTCCTCAGCCTATTTTTGAAAGCAGATCATGAGGCCTTTTTTCCCTTGGTCTGTCTTACTCTGGAAGCTTTACTGAACCCTGCCAACCTGCTGGTGTTTGAAATTCTGGTGACATGGTTTCAGCATCGCAATTAGGCACAAACTATCCTACTACAACACACTAATAGACAAGTGGGGGAGGCTGACACATGACAAGTAGAGACACTAGTTGTTCATGCAGATACTTGTTCCTGTGATTCCATGTCTCCATCTCTTCCTCCTTCCTATCACAACATCCGCAGCCCTCCCATCCTTCTGGGATGGGAGAAAAGCCCTCTTTTACCAGTAATCCTGCCCAAAGAGGTTCAGGTAGGTGTGGATTTCCTTCTGTGAGCTAAACTGGGCTTACTCTACTCCCTAGTGAGTGACAGTCACCTCTCCTAAGCCCTCATCTCTATCCCAAGTCTCTGCCTCTCTCCTCTGGCATCTCTGAATGCCCCTGAGAGGTGCTGTCTCGTGGTCATGGCAAGAGACTCTAGCCACCTCAAGCCATTTCTTGATCTGAGATTGGGAAGTATCAGCTGGTTTTGCCCTCCACTGGAATGTGTATTCTGTAGCTACAGTGCACTAGGTGCAGTATTAGGCCCTGGGGACAAAGTGGACAAGACAGCCCCTGTCCTCATGAAATTTGCATCCCTATAGCTGTCTTTCCCCCTAGCTCTTTCTGCTTGTATTTAACCTGCATTTGAATGGCTACCTGAGTCCAGAACACACTACCTGGCTACAACCCGATTGTCGCTATGTGTTCAGCTTTGACAGATGCCCGTTGAATGCACTCTGGTCAGCAGATAGCCTCTCTATGGACCTCCTTTAGGTTCCCAGAAGCCAAGTAAGGTAGCATCCACTCCTCCGACTGTTCATGATTCTGAGCGAGGCCCTGGCCTCTCTGTGAAGACAGAGAAGGCTTCCGTTTTCAGAGTCTGTAGCCTGCCTGGCTAATCTTTATGTGCACATGCCCCTTAAAGCTCTTGGACTCCTGATACGAGTCCATCATTGCCTTCATCCAGAATAACAGCAGAGGACATATTTGAGCATGCCAAGACTAAGAGAGACTAGGACGAGGATCTGCTTCTAAAAATTAGCCAATGCAGAGCTGATGGCTCATGACAAGAAAGCGTTCAGTCTAGTGTTGGAAGATGTGCCCCCTACCTTGGAAGGCATTCAAAAGAGTGGCAAGAGGGAGGAATGCAAGAGTTAAAGTGATTAGAGGTAAATATTGCTAACTGATGGTACATGGAGTATATTGTAATTATTGTAAGCTTTGTTGAATGCAAAACTGATGATCTGCTCTATAAACCTTTCCTCAATTCATAATGAAAAGTTGAAAAACCCCAAACCCAAAACCACACACAGTGGCCACAAGACTGGACTAGACTATGCCAAGGGTCCTGAAGGTCATGCAGGACTGTTCTCGTACTGCTGCGTGTGGACTAACGGGAAGCTGGTGCTTATGGAGTCCTGTGTAATGCTGTAGGATCAGCACTGGACTGTGAGCCACCAGGTCATCTATTCACACCCACCAGCTGCTCCTCAAAAACCCTATACAGGGTCACTAAGAGTCAGAACTCACTTGATAACACAGAATGACAACAACAGCCACAAAGCAGAAAATATGTCCGGAAGATTCTAAAGCAGAGCAGCTGTTACTAGGTTGCAGGTGCAGAGTTTCATTGTAGCTCTTGCTTTTCTCAGAGAATCCCTAGCTCATGAGGCTGGATGGAAAAAATAGTTATCATCTGGTTGAACCTGTTAACTTCACAAATGAGCACACTTGTGTCCTGGGACGCAAAACAATCTGCCCATGCCCACCTGCTGCGGACAGGGACCAGGCTCCATGACAGCCCTTGAGTCTACCTGTGTGTGCTGCTCAATGGCCCTGTCAGTGGCTCTGAATTCCCTAATACTTATCTTCTAATTAAACCTCTTTCTGTGTTTTAAAATAACTGCTTCTCCCTCCCCCTCAACTCCCCTCCCCCTCTGCTTTGTAATCTTCTTGAGGAATGAAACAGAGAGAAACAAAAAAGAGACTCTAATTTAGAAAACAAGAAAGTAATCCTCAATCCTTTATGTCCAGATTTCAAAAACCTCATAAAACCTTTCTTTTTTGTTTAAATTCTAATTCAGCACAAAGCAATAAAAGAGTCAAGAAAAATAGAAGCCTTCCATTTCATCTTTTCAAATGTTTTCTCCTTTTTTTCTTTGCTGTGGCTGTCAGGGGATGTAGCTTCTAATAGCCCATCAATGTATGTAATGAGCAAATACAATAACTGCAGTCAATCACCCTTTATAGGTCCTTGGGTGTGTTCAGAGTGGAATTTCATTTATAGATGGTCCTGCCTGAAAGCTTTTGGATGCGTAATAGAAAACAGCATGAAAAAAAGCAATATGTATGTTTTCTGTTTTTTTTTTTTTAACCAGAACCCTTAAAAACGAAAGCTCTACTTGTGCCTGGCTAATACACACTCAATAGAAAACCCAATGTACCATGGTAAACAGTAGCTGACCTGCATCGGTTGTCCCTATGAATGCATGCATGCTGGGGAGGGAGTGCCTTCATACTCAGAGCCCAGGAGTTTTCCAAAGATGGAGGCCCTACCAGGAGAATGTCCTTCGCTTCATATCCTGGTCCAACACTTCCTGATGCCAGAAGGTCCAAAGACAGGAAGAGAAACAAAGGCAGGCAGGCAAATGAGAAGACAAGGAGACTGAATGTCCTACAAAGTTCCCGCCATTGGGCTCAGCTTCCATCTTCTCCCCACTGGGAATCTACAGCCCTCTCTGAAGTAATCTTCACTTCCAGATGTACTTTCTCTAGCCCATATGCCGTGTTGCAACCAGGTTCTCCTCCTGATATCTGTTGTATCACTTCTTACAGTTATATAGTTCACTTCCAGACCAGGGCCCACTGCCCTTCCATTGACACCTCCATGTTTACCTCCCTGCAGCCCCTACTTTGCACCCCAAAGGCCACCATCATTAACAGTTGGCCTGTCTCTGAATGGGCTTGGACCTTCCCATCTCTGTCTGCAAGAAGCAAAAGCAGCATAAATATCATGTCCTACATGTTGCAATGCCTCCAAGGAAAAGGTCCACTGATCAACACTTACTGCAAGCTCTCTTGTTCCAGACACACCTCATTTAATCCTCACAGACACTGAGTGTTTAAACAGCTTAAGTAACCTGCACACATCTTTCAACAACAACAAAAAAGACATCTACTCTATTTCTGAATGTCTAGTCTTGGAGTCCTGGTATGGCGCTATAGGATAAACATTGAACCACAATGTCAGTTTGATCTGCAAAGTCAGTAGTTCAAACCTATCAACTGCTTCTCAGAAACCCTACAAAGGATTGCGCTGAGTTGGAACTAAATTGACGACACTTAACAACAGCAGTCTTGTATTGGGTTCTATGTAGAATGGTTTGAAGTGACTTGTT